AAAGAAAACTAAAAAAAAAAAAAAAAGACAAAAAAAATGGGGAAAAAAGTGAAGGTAAAAAAAAAATCAATTAAAAAAAAAGAAATCAAAGGAGCACAGCGAAGAACGAAAGCAATGAGGCAGAAGGAAGAGAAGGGAAGGGAAGGGAAGGGAAGGCCGGCCCAGCTCCCAGCTCCCGGCTCCCGGCTCGGCCCCCCCTCGCCCCGTTACCTGCGGAGCGCCCCGGCCCGGACCCGCGCTGCCGCGGCCGCTGCCCGGCGCGGGGCGGAGCGGAGCGGGGGCCGCGCTCGCTGCATTGTGGGAGCGGCGCTGAGGCGGGAGCGGGGCGCCCCCTTGCGGCGGAACGCGGCTGGGCGGGAAGCGGCTGGCGGGAAAAGGAGCGAGGGTGTGTGTGGAGGGGGGGGGGCGGGCGTGGGGCTGAGGGGTAATTAGTGCGGCTGGGGGTAATTAGTGCGGCTAGGGGCAGTAAGTGTATGTGGGATGGGTAATTAGTGCAAGTGAGGGAGAGCAAGGGTGTCCGGTGTAATGAGTGCAGCTGGGGGCTTGTAGGGTGGGTAATTAGTGCCGCTGAGGGGTAATTAGTGCGGCTGAGGGGCAGTGAGGGCAGTAGGGTGAATAGTGCAGCAAGGCGGTAATTAGTGAGGCTGAAGGGTAATTAGTGAGGCTGAAGGGTAATTAGTGCGGCTGAGGGGCAATAAGGACGTGTGGGGTAATTAGTTTTGGCAGGGAGGTGGTAAGGGTGTGTAGGGTGGGTAATTAATGCAGCTGATGGGGAGTTAATGAGGGTGAGAAGTAATTAGTGTAGCTGGGGTGGGAAATTAGTGCAGCTAGAGGGCAGTAGGGGAATGTGGGGTAGAGAATTAGTGCAGCTAAAGGGTAATTAGCGCAGGTGGGGGGAGGAAGGTGGGGATGTAGGGTAATTAGTGCAGCCGGGGTTGGGTAATTAATGAGTTCAATCAGAGTGGGGGTGGGAAGTAATGCAAGCGGAGCAGTAACTGCAGCTGGGATGGGTAAATAATGCAGCTGGGGTAATTAATGTGGGGGTAAGCAGTGCAGTGGGGTAATTAGTGCCTGTGTAGGGTAATTAGGCCCGTAGGGTGATTAGCGTGGATGGGGTTGAATTAGTGAAGCTGGGGATGAAATTAACGCAACCGGGAGGAGTAATTAGTGCAGTGCTGTAATTCATGCATGCGGGGGTAATAACTGTACTGGGTGGGGGGGGATTAATGAGGACAGGTGGGGTAATTAGCGCCGCTTGGCGTGCTAATTGCAGCGGGGCAATGACTGCAGCCGGGGTTCCCGGTGCAGCGGGCTGCAGTTAAGCGGCCCGAGCCCCGCTGTGCCGCGCTCGCCCCGTGCTCCGTGCCGGGCGCTGCCGCTCACGGGGTGGCACTGTTGTGTCAGGAATGCACGCAGCCCCGCCATCGCGCTCCTGGCCGCCGGTTCCCGCAGCCCCATCGGTCCCCACGGCTCTCCTGTGAGGTTCCCAAAGCTCGTGGAGTCCTCAAGGCACCACAGCGCTGCCCCCGGAGCTGCGACCCTCGGAACAGCGCTGGTTGCAGGCGATGTCCCCATCTGAGCACCTCTTCCCAAGCATTCCTCCATCCCGTGAGCTTCCATTCCACCCCCGTGGGCTTCCCTCCCTTCTTATAAGAAGCACAGTTGCAAAGGCCCACAATGCTCATCCAGTTCCAACCCCCTGCTGTGTGCAGGTCACCAACCAGCAGCCCAGGCTGCCCAGAGCCACATCCAGCCTGGCCTTGAATGCCTGCAGGGATGGGGCATCCACAGCCTCCTTGGGCAACCTGTGCCAGTGCCTCACCACCCTATGTGTGAAGGAGATAAGCATCCTTCCTTCCCGTGAGCATCTCTTCCTCCCTCAAACCACCCCTCCCAGCCCAACAAGCAGCCTCCTTCCCCCTGTGGCAAAGTGTCATCTCTGCATCCTCATCCTTCCAAGCTCCTTTACGAGTCCCCCAGCCCCAAGATCCGCGGGGTGCTTTGTGCTTAAGGACAGAGAGCACAAACGATTTGAGAGAAGCCCTGCTGACAGTGGGAACGGAGGATGAGGTTCCCCACATGCAACATCCCGAGGGCACTGGGAAAGCCCCCAAACCCGCCTACAAAGGCGAACCAGCCTAGGAGCGGCTGCGTCGCCACAAATGAAAATCAGAGCAAAGTTAACTTCTGTCTAATCCCATCTTCCTGCAGCCGAGCAGATGGTTTGCTTCTCTTGGCAGAGGCGGCGCCTTATCTGATCGCAGCGCTGGAACGGGGGAGAGCAGAGGGCTTTGAAGGCAGCGCGGGAGCCGGCAGAGGTATGGCGGGGCTGGCTGCTCCTGACAGCTCCAGGTGGGATTTGCAGGGCTGTGTTGCAATGCGGGGCCCGGGGGGATTTCTCAGCAAAGCCGAGCCCTGCGCTGCGTGGTGGGGCCTGGAGGCGGGAGCAGGGCAGGAACGAGGGGGATGCAACGCCCTCAGGAGGAGAACAAAGGCTGTTCTGTGCCTTGTAGGGCAAAACATGAAGAAATAAAGCTTGCATTTGAAGTTCTGAGTGCTAAAAACATCTCCTCAGGTGCTGCGCAGGAGCAGCAGAGCTCAGCTGTCTGACACAGAACGGTTGGGTTGGAAGGGACCTCAAGGATCATGAAGCTCCAACCCCCTGCCACATGCAGGGCCACCAACCTCCACATTTCATAGCAGCCCAGGCTGCCCAGGGCCCCATCCAACCTGGCCTTGAACACCTCCAGGGATGGACGGGGCATCACAGCCTCTCTGGGCAGCTGTTCCAGCACCTCACCACTCTCATGGTAAAGAAATTCCCCCTGACATCCAACCTCAATCTCCCCTCCTTCAATTTAAAGCCATCTCCCCTTGTCCTGCAGTTATCAACCCTTGTACAGAGTTGACTCCCCTCCTGTTGTTGGCTCCCTTTAGGTACTAAAGGCCTTCCCCCACACGACCCCTCCTCGGGGGTGGAATTCAAACACGGCTCCGTTTTGGACAACAGCACTGGGATTTTTACACAGTTTTATTAAAAACTCTTAAAGGTCTAAAATGAAAATGTACACCTACTACAGAATGACCAGTTTGTACACTCACAGGTAAAGTGCTAAAAATTAAACGTTACCGAAGCGACACGGGACGACTGGAACTGAGCCCACGGAGAGCTGAGCACAGCAGCAGAAATGAAGGTACAGCCCCAGAGCAAGCGTGGGATGAGCGACCACGGCCCTGCAGCCGTGGGCTGCACAGAACGCACACAGAACATCCCGCCGTGCGCCACAATGAACCCCAATCTGCTTATAAAACATTGGCATAGGAGGGGAGTTTCACATTCAAGTCTACATTCGGTCGTTAGGGCTGAAGCACGTGGGGATGCTCTGCAGCCCGGGCGCCCGCTTCCCACTGCTGCTGCTTTGGGGTGCTGTGCTGCAAGCACCTCGCTGAGCCGTGGGCTCCTCCTGCAGCCCCCGGGCTGGGAGCACCTGGCAGTGCGTGCCCTGCTTGCAGCTGGGTGCAGGACAGGCACCGATGCAGCAGGTGCTGCTCTTCTGTCCTTGGGTGCTGTTTGCACGACCAATAGCTGAAGCCCGGGCTGCTGAGCTGAGGTCTAGGCGCTACGAAAACGCAGAGCACTCGAGAGCAGAGTAATTTACAGACAATTGAGGCTTTTTGCTGCAGTTTGGCTTTTAGGCTCCCCCAGAGATTATCCCTGTGGACCGAACAGGGAGGTGGATCCTTGCTGCCTTTCCATGCAGCACAAGCACAGCACTGACTCACAATTCCATGATGGGATGCTAACAGGAAAGCAGCACCTAAACGTGCCCAGGTCACCCAGAAATCTCCCACACCCTGAGATGCAAAGGTTTGGCAGCCCCAGCCACGAGTGCATCCAGGGTGAGGCCACCTTCCCCCTGAAACAGCTGCTGGGAAGAAGGCCTTTGAGTCCCAGGGAGGAGGAATGCTGTGCAGGAGCAGCGTGTTGGTTCAGGTTAGGAAGATGAAAGGAAGAGCTTGGGGTCACAGAGGTACGGGTGACAAAAAGCCCAAGTTTTTCCATCTTAATCCCTTTTCTGGCTGAGGAGAGCACTCTCCATCCATGTGTATGCAATAGATGAGCAAGGGACTGCTTAAATAGCCCACCTGGAAACAACACGGGGATTAAACCTCACAAATTAGCTAATTTCTGGGGGGATGTCCTTCAGACCTCCCCCACTCCCCTCCCTGCCTCTAAGCAAGTCAAAGCACCGCTGCAATTAACAAGAAAGGAGCACTGGAAATTCAGCCAAGGAGATCAACGCTAACACTTGACCTTCGTCAGCTCAGCGTTTACAACAACTCAGATATTTGGCTTCTTCTGCAGATTCCGATTCCAAACCCTACCCTCCCTCTGAAGCAAAAAGTTAGCAAGGCATTTCTGAATCCATCGTGAGAGCAGAGCAGCCTGTGATCTCAAAGAGAGCACGGCTACGTGCCCTGCTGCTGTGTCGCCAGCTGCAATCGACGGGAGTCGTGCGGCGCTCTCAGTCTCTGCAGTGTGCGTGCTGCTTGTTGCCCTGTTGCTGCTGTGCCATCTAAACATGTACAGAGGCTTCTCCACGCGCCTCAAGCAGGTGAAGGAGGGAGTTACGTAAGGACAATGAAAAAGAGGCGTTCGTATCCCAGCAGTGATCTGCAGTGGTTACTGAGGTAGGTTTAGCTGCAGCGGGTCTGACAGCAGACGCCTCCGAAGATCAGCTGTGCCATCAGGAACGCACCCTGACTTCTGCCTGCTGGGCCTGCAAAGACCTGCTGTGCCCTACAAACCATTCACACACCACAAAAGCCCAAAGTGAGAATTCTCTGCTGTGGGCCTACGGTAGGGAATGAAATGAACCCGGAGTAGAGGTTGATGACGAGAGCACGGATACCTGCCTGCTCCTCCAGCAGCAAGGAGGGCTGGGCTCAGCGCCGTGCCCCGATGCCCGACCTCAGCACAGAGCAAAGCCCCTGGAGGGAGCTCCTCGCAGCCGTTTCAGCCCCAGCGTTGGTTTGTTCTGTTGGTGACAGGCTGCCCAGCCCGGTGTGGCGACAAATTTAGCTCTTTCCGTTTCTAAATAGATTGGGAACGGGCGATCTCAGCTTTTGGACAGTAATCTAAAAATAAGTGGCTGAATATTATCTAGATAACTGGTTTTAAAATTCCTCTCTTCCTACATAAATTGTAAACAAGTAGAAAATTTAAATAGTATCTTGTAAAAAAAGCAAGGACAATGCAAGTTATACAAAAAGCGCCCTTCCTTGCCTCCTTCCTCCCCCTCCCTCCACCCATCCCCGCAGCTGAGCCTGAGCAGCCCTGGGAGGAGCTGGCGATCCTCAGCCATCTCCTCTCTCCTCCCAAACGCTGCTCCTGTTGCATTTCCAGTGTTATCTGTTACAAACGCTGCCACTGTCTTTGCACAGCACTGAGTCCGGGCCCCTCCCTCTGTGAGACAAGAATCGCTCTGCTATCAGAGATGTGGAGGAATTCCTTCAATATCCAAGAATTCCCTTAGGCCCATTAGAGAACATGTGGGTGTGACTGACCGTGGTGGCACCTGCTGATGTGACGACACGTCGGAGGGAGGGGAAGGTTTTTCTTCAAGAACAAGGAGTCCAGCAACGATGGCTGATGGGTAAATAACAGTTATCAAATAAATAATTACCTACAGAGAGGCCCTAACGAGGCAGGCAGCCGGGTGCTCAGTGACTGAAGCCTGCCGAAGGCCGGCTCTGACGCAGGCGTGAGAACGGCGGCTACACAACAGAGAAGCCGGCCTCGGCCTCCCGACGCACAAAAGCAGCGGCTGCCCAGAGGCGCCGTAACGCCGAGCGGCGCCGCCAGGCTCAAGCGCTGGTGCCGTCCTCCTCGATGACGCGGTTCATGCTGGTGCCGTGCGTGATGTGCGTCAGGGGGTTGCTGCTCAGGTCCCTGACGCTGCTGTGGCGCGATTGCTCGTTGAGCCGATGGGAGCTGCTGTGCCGGGAGTGGTCGGTGAGCCGGGACATGCTGCCGTGAGGGAGCCTTTCCTCTATGCCTCTGTAGCTGCAGGGCGTGTAGCTGGTGTGCAAACAGAGGGGATCGTATTGTCAGCACGGCAGTGTGGGGGAGCTCTGCTTTCCCACGTGCTGAGATGGCAGAATCGGAGTCACTCCGCTCGGAAAAGACCTCTAAGGTCAGCCAGTCCGACCCCGGCCCACCCCGCCGTGCCCACGGCCCAGGTCCCTCACTGCCCCATCCCACGGTTCCCAAACACCTCCAGGATGCTGACCCCACCACCTCCCCATGCTCTCAGAGCTCGTCCCACGTCACACACTCCACGTAAGAGAAGGAAACGCACCGGCCGTCGCGTGAGCGGTGCAGGCTGCCGTGGTAGCTGCTCACTTTGCTGTGCACGCTGCCCGCCTTGCTCCTCTGCTCGTCCAGCATGGCCAGCTGGGTGGAGGAGGCGTGGGTGGAGGTGCCCTGGGTGGAGGTGCCCCTGGACTTGCGGATGATGGGGGTGTTGGGGTCCCGCAGGAGAGACTGAGCGAAATCTGGCTCCTGCAGCACCTGGCGGCTCTCGTTGACAACTCTGAATTAGGCATGAGGTTTGAATAGTTAATGTCAATTAGCGCAATAAGGGCTGTAAGATGATCTCAGGAACAGCACTACAAGTATTTTACAAGCAGGACTTACGTTATAATGGCTTCGTTTGCCTAATTCTGAAGCGTTTAGAATTTGGGTATGTCAGCAAAGTTTGTGTTCTTGACTCCTTCACACTCTCTGCACCTGATGTACCAAATGCTGTCAGCCATGTGTGCATCCTACCAGGCTCTTGTGGATAAATCAACATTTGCTCCAACTCTGCAGGAGTCACTTTACTCAGCAGAGGGCCAGTTCTGCCATGGATGGCCAAGGCGACGCCACGGGGCAGCACCTTAAAGGCTTGCTATGTTTGCAGATCTATTTTGAAACAGCCACTTACTGAGACAATATTTATGATTATGAAACCAGGTATTCGTGGCTATTATGTAATCAAATACACTGTCTCTAAATTTATGCCATATCTCAACCTAAATTAATTTTGGCCCTAAAGAAGCTACAACACAATCTTACTGTAATTTTATCGGAGCGCTTGGGCTTTACGGTCAGAGGCATATGGGAAAATTAAACATAGAGACAATTGCTTTGAACTGCAATCATGGTGAAAACAGCTGAGGTTTAATTCCCACGTAACGATGTGATTCAGTGGACCGGATTCTAGATAGGTACCTTCACAAATGACAGCCCTCCATTCCACTGCTCTGCGCACAGCAGAGAAGCTGCAGTATTTAACTGAAACCTGATTCTCATTTTAAAACCAACAGAACAATGAAAATTTGATTCTGGGACCAAAGAATAAGAATGGCTAAAAATATGACTGTTCTTCAGGGCTTCATTTTTGGAGCAGTTGCTTGTGCTGTCCTTTGCTCCGCTGTAAATAAGGACAGAGAAAGCTGCCCCTACCTGCTCCTGGCCGTGCCTCCACAGGATACTGATCAAAATGCTGCCAGGACCACAGGGCAGGAGGACTTCAGTCAGCACTCGGCTGGTTTGTCTGTTTCAGTACTCACTCTTTTTTCCTGCGTCCGTGGAAAAAGCTGGCCCACTCAAAACAGGTCTTTTTGCTTCCAACCCAGAAGACAGAGGGTATCCCAACCACCAAAGCCATGAGATATTTCATCAGAAAGAGGATCAGATCCGGACGACTCATCTGAGTGACCTGCAGAGAGAAAGAGACCAAAAAGAACATCATACAAACCACCATAGCTGGCTTCTCCTCTTATTAACTCATTTAAAATAACTGTCTGTGCCTCGAGCCAAAGTAAACATCAACAGGGTTCCTTTGTTTCACGGCTCCAGAGAGCAGGACTGAATGTGAGGGCCGATCCACTGCGGAGTGAAACAAAAGCCCCAACCGCTGTGAGGTCCCAGCCTTTATTTGTACTTCTGGTCTTTTGTCTGTGCCCTGAATAACTGTGAAATACTTTCTAGTCTGCAAGTTATGAAGACTCATTTCTTTGACAGAACTAACCTACATAAAACCAGGTGTTACATTCGCTGTTGGGAAAAGTCCCAGTGGAAGGCTTCATGGGATGCTCAATGCTGACTCCTTACTCCCTGCCATTTCCTTCCCTTGGGAACGTAAGACATTAAGACATCACCAAGGTATGATGACCTGCTTATTGCCAACTCTGACCTCCCTGCATTTATCCAACGTGACCAGATGAATTCTTATGAATATTTGTGCATATTTTTGCAAATATTCATCCCAAAAGGAGTTGCTAGGAAAAGATGTGGGAGCAAATCCGAAGACGTCATTTCCAGACAGGTTTGTCAGAACAAATAGGCATGGAAGCCTTTTGTGGAGTCAACAAAAAGTGAGCTGTCAAGGGCAAATCTTGAAGAGCTGACGATGCAGAATTTAATTTAGAAGCATCACAAGCACGATTCTATTTCTCAGAGTTCATCTCTGCATGAAATGGGATCAAGGCTCCTCCCAGGTGAGTTCTCTCCTCAATGTATTTCACATCAGACCGCAGACCTCCTGGCCCTTGCAGGCATGGAACCACACAGCACGAGTCCTCTGGGCGGCTTTGGAGCCATCGTGTGAGGTTTCACCCAAGAAAAGGATATGGATATGTTAATGGTGACCCAATAAAAACCTATGCAGCAAAATCAAGCTCTCAGAAATTAACCCTATTATCTCATTTCATAACGTGCAAATGCGGCATGAAGTGGAATAAGTGGTGAAATTCATCACCTAATGTAGGCAATGCTCAGGTGAATTGTGGTGTTTCCACACCGTGCTGCCTGCTGGCCCAGCTCTCGTGGCAATGAGTGCAATCCCTATTCTTGTGTTGAAAACAAAATGAGAGTTGGAGCTCTGAAGGCCAGCGTGTGATGAGGTGCTCTGAAAGGGCACTTTTATCTCCTGGATTGAGTCAGACCGCTTTACGCTAGACAGCAGAAGCGAGGTGGTGTGTAAGCATTCACCCTCATCCCACTAAGGAACAGATATTACTTCCATGAACACACTGCATCCAACCATTTGATAGCAAAGCTCCTGGCTCCACGCATTTCTGCAGGGTGTTGCAAATTATTCCAAGCAAAAGTTGAAATCAATTCACCAAATACCTCTGGGTGAAAAGAGGAGCACCCTGCTCTCAAAGCAAACTATTCACACTCAACCATGAGCTTCTTTGCACGAAGCCAGCAATTCCAGCAGGAACACATGGTGGGCTCCCTAACCATTAATACTAAAGTGACTGCACCTGTCTTAAACAACATCTCTGTGGATTAGGAGACACTAATTGCAATTAACAAAGGAAAAATAAGACTCGAAATCACTGTTCCAGGAATATAAAACTGTAACTAATAGGTGCTTAAACCCAAAGCCTCCGAGCTCATTTCCAACAAGTATGGCACTGATGTAATTCCAAACCCAAACTGCCATTTTCTTTCAATAAGACACAGAAATGATTGCATGGATTTTAATAGCAGTAAAACCTCACAGCAGCTCCCTCGTGCTTACCCTTGGATTCCTGCTATTGAAATCCAGGGCACCTCCACATTTGCTCTGTCCATTTGTCTGGATGAGGAGCTACAAGATGTGGTTTCAGTGCTTGTGATAGCAATGGTAACGGGAGGACGGTTGGACCAGATGATCTTGTAGGTCCTTTCCAACCTTGTGATTCTGTGATTCCATGATTCTTTAGGCCTTCAGAGGCGCTCAGCCAGCAGGGGAACGGGCTGAGATGGAGCTGCAATAGAAGGCAGTGTGCTCTGCTCTGCTCTGCTCTGCTCTGCTCTGCTCTGCTCTGCTCTGCTCTGCTCAGGCACGTCCCGCCAGCAGCACAGGCACCGATGCTTCGCCGAGCAAAGACCAGCAAACAAGTTCTGTCAGCTACAAAGATTGCATACGTGATAGCAAGGCTTCACGCCCCAGCCCTGCTCCCATCTGCCAGGCTGCTGCCGCAGCTGGGCTGGTGTGAATCGCTTCCCTTGCTGAGCACAGAAAGACATTGGTGCGAACGCACCGCCGCCCTGCCGAACCCCCAGTAGCAGGTGTTCAGCGAGGAGGTTAAAAACATCCATTTCAGCGTTCCTCTGGGGAAAAACAATGCCTCTTTGTAGGCACGCTGTTAATTTAAGATGCTTATATAACTCATTTCTGAGTATCTTCCCCTTCTGCCCCTGAACGATCAACCTCGGTTGCTTTTTAGTGACAGAGACCGGTGGCCTCTTCCTGCTGCCACGTATGAAATCACACATTAATGAGCTGGCTGCACACGTGGAGTGAAAGCACAAACCCAACACCTGTCCCCCTCCTTTGGGGCCCGGTTCCACAATAAGGCCGATCATCTGATATTTCCCTAAGGATGAAAAGCAATGAAATTCAAATTAACTCATCCCTTTGTTGAGAGCAGAGGAAGCGGGGGAAGACCAAAGGGAATCTGATCCGACAGTCTCACTTTCATTACCATTTCCATCACTGTCACTGCTTTCAAATTCAGGATATTATACACGTGCTGCTCATTTCCCAGCAAAATGCAGCTGCATTTCTCTCTCTAAAATCAAATTATTTTTTCAGTTCATTAGAATCTCGCCTGTTTTACTCCACAGGCAAACGAGGATCCATGCAACCTCCCTGGCTACAGGGCAGCACAAGCTGAAGAACAGAGCAACTCCAAGCAACTGTGAACGGCCAACCTGACGTAGCCCTGATGTAAGAGCTGGTGAGGAAGACAGCCACCCATCCTTCAGCAGCTTCAGAACGGGTCAGGTCTGTGTGAAACAGTCACAGCAGGCTCTGGAGACGTCCAAAAGAAACTAACAGAAGCTGTTCTGGCTCTAAATGCCAGAAGCTGCATGGCAACGCTGCTCTGAGCAGAATAAATACCAACATTCAGGTCCTGCATGGCAGAATGGCTGAGAGCTGTCACACAACAACACTGACGCCTTTTGTTTCTTGCTCTCAGTTGCACTTTCCTGCTTACTGCAGGGACACAAAAGATCCATCCATTAACTTCGCCCATTGGATCACAGTAAAACAGTTGTCAGAACAATTATGAGAAAACATTAGCAAATATTCCCCAGAATGACTTCATAACTACCGAGTTGCTGTATGCCCAGAGTGGAAACTAAAGCAGCGTGTTCGGTCTGTGCAACTTGGGCCAACCTGATCCAAGCTAATAATAAATGCAATATAATAATAATAATAAATAAATAATAATGGTAAATAATAATAATAATAAAGCAATGCAATAGAAGTGTTCAGATTACCACCTCGATAGGCTTAGAGGCCATTCTGGAGGAGACGTTCCCAGAGATGCCAGTGTTGGCTCCAGCACTGCACATCTGTCTCACAACACCAAACGCATCCAAAGCACTTTTTTATCCCCAAGAATTCAACCTGGGTGCCTGAGAAACCCATCCTTATGAAACCTGCCTCTACGGTACCTCTGAAATACAAAGCAGCATATTTTAGAAGGACTTCATTTGAGTTTCTCTGCCATGCTGAAATTATTCAGCCCATAGGAGGCTGTGATGCCCCATCCCTGCAGGCATTCAAGGCCAGGCTGGATGTGGCTCTGGGCAGCCTGGGCTGCTGGTTGGACACAGCAGGGGTTTGGAACTGGATGAGCATTGTGGGCCTTTGCAACCCAGGCCATTCTACGGTTCTATGATTCTGTGATTCTGTGATTCTGTGATTCACAGAAGATCAGCACTGGTTTTCAGTAGAAGCCTTTTGTCTGCATCGGAGCCTCATCATCTACCATAACAGCTTTGTGTAATGCAGCACAGGAGCAGCTGCCACAGGGCTGCAGGCTTCTCATCACCCATCTCCTTGAAAAGGGCTCCCACAGGACAAGCAGAAAGGCCCTGACTCACGGCTGCAGCCTAACGCCTCCCCTCCAACACATCCGCCCTTCAGGCCCTGCGGTTGCTCACAGTGCCAGCCAGGAGCTGCTGTAAGCAGGCGTGCTGCTGGCTGCTCCTGCCTGCACCAGGTCCTGCAGCTATCCTGTGCCAATCCTAGGATGTGCTGATCTGCAGCTCCAGGAAACGACTGCTGGGAGAAAGGCCAAGGGGAAGCTGCGTGTCAGAGAAGCCGTTGGGATGTCGTGCGGTTGGTGGCTTTATCTTGAAATGAAAGACAGCGTTCAGTCGCAGCAACTGATTTTTGTAAGTGCTAGCAATGGTTTGTAATTAGAGAGACTGCCCAAGTGCCTGCGTTCTGATTGGTACCAGAAGCTCCTGCTGCCATTCAGAAAAACACAGCTCCCCAAATTCAGATATCAGCACCTCACTTGGAATTAAACAGCGAGTCCAGAGAACAAAAAACTGAATGAGTCAGAAAAAGTGATTCCTGGGACAACTCCGCTGCATGTGGATTAAAACCTCTGCAGCAGTAACACCCACTTTGGCGTTCTGCTCTCCTTCTTGAACATATTCAACCCTTGCTGCAGCAGCCAGCAATGGCACACGATGCCGCTCAGTTCTGCAGCCCTCAGCTCCTGTGTAGTTCTCTCCTTTCCAATTGAGCTTCATGCACGAGCACGCTGCCACCCTGCCAGCACTGCCTCAGACTTTAGCAGCTATTTTCAGTGTTCCTTACAGTTTTGGAAAACTAACTGCATCCCTTCTTACCCTTCTTCTGCAAGGCTATGCACACCCATACATCCTGCATGGGTTTCCTTAGGAAAGCCCTATGCTTTG